TATTTCAAGTATCGTTATTTGATATGCTTGAACCTTTTAAAAGTGCACTTTGAGTATATTTTATTATCTTTTTACTATGGCGCACTTTTTTCTTTATCTTGAGTATTTATAAGTTCAAGTAAAGAACACTTCTATTTAACATTTGCGAAAGAGCATTTTCTACTTCAGTGTCCCTTTTGAAATAATTAAAAACGTCATTACATAGAGAATGGCTACTAGTCAAGAACTCAACATCGAGATCTTAACCCCTCGTATCGGTGCTATAATCCATAACTTGGATTTATCACAACCATTGACTAAGGATCAAAAACATGCGTTAGAAGAAGCACTCTATAAATATCATGTGCTCTTCTTTCGTAATCAAAATTTAACATCTAAACAACAAAGTGATGTTGCCCGTCTATTTGGTGATCCACATGTACACCCAGTTTTTTCGCATACGGCAGAGTGTCCGGAAGTAAGTGTCTTGGAATTTGGTGTAGATGTCGATCCGGATAAAAAACCAGATTCTGATATCTGGCATACTGATGTTACATGGTCAAAGAATCCACCAATTATTGGTATGCTCTATGCAAAAATTATACCAAAACAAGGTGGTGGTGATACACTATGGGCAAATACGGTTGAAATTTATAAACAAGAATTATCAAATGAAATGAAAGAATTTCTCGGTAAATTAACAGCTGAACATTCATTTGCATACGCATTTCAACCTTTGATTAAACCTAATTCTGCCGCTATGGCACAATTTATGAAAACTAAAGAAGCGAATCCACCAGTCACTCATCCGGTTATTCGTGAACATCCACATACCAAAGAAAAATGCCTATATGTTAATAGGACTTATACCACGAAGATCAATGAATTAAATGAACACGAAAGTAATTTACTATTACAATATTTATTTTCATTAATTAATAAAAAACCAGAATTCACATGTCGATGGAAATGGAATGAAAATGATGTTTGTTTATGGGATGAACGGACAACACAACATTATGCAACAGCTGATTATTGGCCACAACATCGAAGAATGCATCGATGTGTAATAATGGAAAGGAAAGATAAAAGCTAGATTCTCCAAAAATAAAAGTTGTAAATGAAATCTTGTAACTTGTACTTGTTTTTGAATAATGATGTGTGCCTTTTAAATAAACATAAGATAATCCACAAGAAAACAGAAAAAAATGAACCAACTGTCATTGTTTCTTTTTCCTGAAAGATAGGATTACGTCGCGGAGAATATCAAATTACATGAATCAAAGAAGCGAATCAACCATGCAAAACAAACGACTCAGGCTGACTTCATAAATCGAGAAGAGATAGTCAACTGCTTATTTATACCAGTAAACCATTACCATTCATTCAACTTCCATTTTACGATAAACAAAAACGATGATTAGAATTGAACAGTATGAGAACACTCTTTGACTTTGTTGAAAGAGAAGTTTGTACTCAAATCTAATTGATCGTTCGATAAAAATCGTCATTTGAATGAGTCAGATCTCCTCAGTAAAATTTGAAAAGAAATCTCAGTCGAATGTGTAAAATGAGCTCGATCTTCGAGGATGTGGGTTAGTTGCTATTCATTCAGCACTCACACCCACCCAATTACGAGTCAAATTATCATAACGTTTGACATTGTGGCTTGAGTACAAGTTTTATTATGCAAACAACTTGTGATTGTCGACTGAACACGCGATGGAATCTCAACAGTTTATTGACATATTAATAAACTGTGATTCAACATTGGTAGCTTCAATGAATGATGATAAGTGATTGTTCGTAGTACAAATTATGTTTTCGAAGCGGTGTTCTGTGATTATTTGTGACACTTCAGTCACTTTCTTGATTGAAAATTGAAAACTGTTTGTGAAATTATTTCTGTAGATTGACAATAATTGGTACTTGTGTTGCACGAAATTGATGATCACAAATCAATGCATTAACAAACAATATCTCTTTCAGTTGTTGTCCATGTTTTCCGTGAAAGTGACCAAATACATGAAGTGTTAGTTTGATTCTTATCAAGATACAGTTGAACAACTCTCTACATCCTAGATTGGATGTATTTGTTAATTTGTCGAGAATTGAATGCGGTGAACCATGGGTAAGGACTATATCAGTATCTGCAGGGAATAGTAATTGCACAACCAACCATAATAGAACACGCCAATGGCTGGTTCACTTGTTGTGGACACTCACAGCACATTCCATATTGATTCTTTGTCATATTCAATGACAATCTCGTCGGCAACAACTGAGTTTTTGAATCGGCGAACTGGAATCTTTCGAACAATATGTTCCTCATAAACTAACTGACTCTCATCGATTTATTCATGAGAAAAGAGAAACAACAGATGGTTCAGAATGGTTGTCACCTTCAGTATTTCATCACTCAAACTTACACTTTTTCCAAAATATTCGTCGTACAATTCTCTAGAAAATTTTATAGGAGGTTTTTCTCTAAAAGATCACACTGAAAAATCTTGTGGAGTAGATTGTGTGACACGAACAGTTTCTACTGTTTTGTCTATTCCTTAAAAAGTAAATGTACGCTATATAATACAAAATAACTTTATTCGATTTCGAAGGTGTGGGTGTGTCTATCGTTAGCACAAATTATACTTACAGACACAGCCACATCCCATCCTTTCAATCAGTAGTTTCAACTTTAAGCATCGTCGAAGGAACATCTTCTTTCTTCAGTTCGTCATCCAAATTGAAGCCGATTTAGTCTTTGTAATGCAAACCAAAACAAAGTTTTATGAATATCTTTGCATAAATTAAAAAGTTCATCTTTGCTTCTTTCATTTTTAACAACATGAGAAATGTGTAATTATATATAAATAAACATGAGTCAGCTTATTCAGTTCTTTATTCTATCAGTTAGATTCTTTCAAATATTGTTGTATCAAAATTCGTTTGTAACTTTTGAGATTGTTCGCTATGAGTTGGAGGGAATGAAAAATACATTAAGCAGCAATCAATACAAATGGAAACAGTATGATATCGATGTAGTCAGAGGTTGACAAGAAAGAGAAACTATAACAAAGAAAAGAACTAAGCGTCTGCATTTATGTAAAAAAAACAAGAAGAGTTTCATACTTGTTAAAAACACTCCTGGAATAACAGAATAATTATCATAGTTGAGTGCATAGAAGTATTAATGAATATATAGATCAATTGTTTTAAACATGTTTAGATGAATATTCATTAGCTCTGGTCTTTCAAAGCCAAAGTCAATTAATATCTTTATTTACTCGATAATTATTTCAATAAATATTAAAACTTTTATTTTAGTATTATAGCTATTTCTTCTCATTTGCTAATAATGCTTAAAATAGACTTCTAATGCATTAAATAAATTAGAAATATTTCTGTTTCATTTTCTCAAAAAAAAAATTTCTCATTAATATCTGTTTATCTAACTATGAATCATGACGATATAATCTTTCAATTCTTGTATCAAATATCAAATTTCGAAACTCTTGGCTTGTATCTTGACGTCAATCATCATAAAGGCGAAAGAATCATGATTGAAAAAATTGAGAGTTTATTTGGAAATTTCAAAGCTAATCAATCACATCATTTTGTGTTCATTATTTTTAAACGAACGAACATACCCATTTTCATAGTTTTTCTCATCCATACATAATGATATATTACAAATCATTTGTTAGGAACAATATGTTGTTTTCATTTCTAAAAGTTATTGTCTTTAGAAAGTAAGGTACGATAACAGCACAAACAATTTTAAAGATGAAACGACAAAAACAGCTAAGAATACTTAAGTATTAAATATTCTTATCGTATTATATTAGATCTTTCTGATGTGCACAATGCTTTGTTGAACAATGTTTTGATAATATTTACCAAAAAGATTATACGATATGTTGAAAATAAATTTGTATGGAGAGTGACATAATTTTATAACGATAACTAAACGAATCCATTCTTTGAAAATCAACATTTTAGGTATTTGTCGTCTATTTAAAATGACTGAAAAGTGCAGTCTACTTTTCTCTTTTGAAGTATCCATCTCTATTATCATGTTATTGAAATAAAATAAGAATGCAGAAGATTATTATATTTCAAGACCATACACATATATTGGACAAGAAAAAAAAGCAAAGAGGATATGACAAACGTAGAAATCCATCCCAGACTTTTTTTTACAGGAGGAATGAAGTTAATTGATAAAATCTTTTTTAGTGCGACATCAGATAGCGTAGAATAGTACGTGCAGTGCTGAATACGAGTAAATTTGTCTGAAAGTGTTCGACAAAATGTTGAAAGTCACAAATAATTGTCAGATAAAATACGATACTTTTGTTTGGATAGAACATATGTATAGTGTTTTTTTTTCATATATACTTGCTACTGGTGGAAGACTTATGCGAATAACATAACTTTATTTTCAAATTTTTCGAGAAATATCACTTTATATAATACTACAATGACTTTCGTACTCGTTCGAGTTTTATACTGAAGAAAATATAGGTATGAAAGGAACAAGTCTATTGAAAAGTCAATATAAAACCCATGGAATGCTTTAACATGTTTGACTACTATTTGGTGTGGGTGGGTGTGGGTGTGGATATGGGGTGTGGGTGTGCAAGGAATTCAAGTGAAGAACTACGTTCAAACCCACTCACACCACCCACCACCCCACAACCACATCCCACACCCACAACCATACCCACGCCCGCATAGCAATAGCTCTGATTCAATGATAGACATTGTCTTTCTTTCAATGATATCAATATATCTAAATTAAAAAAAAAACTTTCTCAAGAAAGCATGCCAACAAAAAAGTCGCATATATGCGCGGATATAAAACCATATCCCTCAAGCAATTCGTTTCGTGTCATGCTGGTTTTTCTTCTATATGTTCTGAATTCTGAAAATGTGTACTTGATGAATTAATGTCATGACAATGTCGCTAATTTACATTTTCAGCCTTTTGAAAGCACAATAATATTCAGACTCCTGCATATATAGAGAATGAGACGAAACGATGGAAAACACTTTTTTCGTCATACTTCGAATATATATAAGGAAATAAAAAACGTGCTCTTCTGTGCAAAAAGTATCCTGTAACAATGAATTGACTTAACATGCTATTGAATCTATAAACTTTCTGATTATTTAGTTTTTCTTGATTCTACTATTATCATTTTTTATAAACAGAAGTATAAAAATGATAACAGACACTTCATCCAATCAATGTTTCAAAGTCATAAAATAGACTCCTCTATATAACTTCTATCTTTATAAATGATGGTAGATGCAAAGGATTTTACGATTATGATTCGTAATTATTCATTATTAGAATGATGCGTCAGAAAAATCATTAAATTTGTAGATATAATTTATGTTGAAAGCGATTTCTAACCATATATTGAGAATAAGGGTATGAGATATACTTGCAAACGGCAGGGTTTTTGCATTTCTTTACTGGAACCGTTCAAAAATGGTTAAAGGAAAAATCAACCCTCCAGGTTGCTCATGTATTGATGGGGATGCTAAGAACGTTGTACGTGTGGGTGCGGGACTTCCTTTCACCCACACCGCAGCTAACAGAGCGAAATATTTGCTGAATGATATAAATGTAGTTTGTTCATTTGTAGATATTAAGGTTCAATTGCTTTTGATAACTTACTATCATCTTTTTCGAGATAGATATAGATCCATACATTTTTTAAGGAACGCATAAAACTTGAAGAATTTCATAAAATGAATCAAGTCAGTCGGAACGATAGACGCTACTTGTCATTATGAATATCGTTTTCGATATATTTGTTATTCTTTACTTTATTCATCGATATAAAAAGACAAAAAATAGAATTTTAGAACAGTTAACTAATTTTTTGCAGTAGATATCAGGCGCATAATTGTGCACCCCAGTTGATGCTGCAGTAATTGCAACATGTTAGATTACCCTCCCTGCAAACTGCACCTTTTGGTAGACAATCGGAAACACCAAGCGACAATAATTTTGTAAGAATCGATGTTGCTTCGCCCATGTAGATGATGATAGGTAGCGATAAGAACACGAGAAGAATATTGCTG